CAGCACTGAGCGAGCTCCCGCTGCCAAAAAGGCGCGAGAGATACCCACAACTCCCTCTGATTTCATAATCTGTCCCTTGCCACTGTGACAACAGCTGAGTACAACCAGCTTGGCTCGGGTACCAACTTTTGCGACGTCTTCCATGGTAAGCATGAAGTCATCCTTCCTTGGACTTCGTCTGGATGGAAAACTTGAGGCAAGAGCAATTTCCCCTCTTTCTGGATCACCGTGGGCAGCAATGTGGATCAAGCTGACTTCCCGAATCCGTTGGAGAACGTGCTTTTTGGTGGCTTCGTCTCCCACAGTAGGCGACACACCCAACAATTCTGCAATTTCCAGTGCTTCTCTTCTTGCTCCCGGCAGTGATGGTAACTTTGTTTGTGGGGGAACAGAGGGATTACCAACGATCAATGCCCCAGTTATACTGTGGTAATCTTCAGGACTGTCCTGGATCATCCTTAGTGCTGTCAGTGATGGAATCAGGCGGATCCGGAAGGTCTCTGACAGGAATTTGTCGTTGTGATCACATAATGCGCAAAATGGCACCATAAAATCCTCTCCTTCTGGGATGATGATGATGTCTTGACGATGAACAAGATCAGCGATAGGGGCGAAAATATCATTATACCACTGATAGAGGTTAGTGTCCTCCTTTTCTTCCTCTTCCTCCTCTTCTTCTACGAGACGCTGCCTGCTTTTGCCTTTTATTTCCCTAGATGATGATTTTAATCCATAGTATGCTGACAATGAGCGATCTTCGCATTCAGGCACAGATTTCCCTCTTAGCAAACTCTTGAGCAACTCTATGGCGTCCTTCGCCACTTTACATTTCAAAGACTTAAATTGAATTTCTCCACCCTCCAAAACCCAGAAATATTTGTCAAACCGATGCGTAGCCATGAAGAGGATCGTACTCGGGTTCTTGATGGAAAGATTCCTGAGACAATTAAGATAAAATTCGTGTGAATTGTGTCTTTGGATGCCATATTTCTTGGACAGTAAGTCGCCGAGAGCTCGTGCACGTCCGCGCTCTACGGTACACAGCGCCTCGGCAAAATGTCCCTGACTGATACGAAGCGAACATAATTCGTAATAGCTG